AAAGGGGGTTTGGTAGGGAAATACTTGTTGATTATGATGCTTTACATATATTGATTATGATGTGGAGAGGTTGTAGCGAGTACTTAGAAGGAATTGGGTGTGGCGAAGATGAGATACAAAGAGAGTAATTTTATGAAACTAATGAATTAATTTAATTATTTTTCTTTTTTTAGTAATCTTGGTACTTTCTCTTAAGTGAGGTGTATATCTTTTTTTTTGTATTATTAAAAAGTGGTTATTTGCTTCTAAAGCATCTTATTTATAGCTATGAAAGTTCTATCGTAAACAATACTATTCTACAGAGACAAAATGATCATTTATCCAGAAATAACTGCAAATCAGCTGTTTTTCAAAATGACAAACCAAACAGATAGTTAGCTTATCTGGATCAACTGCAGATCAGCAGCTTATCTGGATCAGTTGTTTATCAGCAGATTAACAATAATTTGTAATTGCCCAAAACAGACCCATAGTCATTGCTATGTGACTTCCAGGACATGATGACTAATAATCTTCAAGAGGGAATGACGTCATTGAGAAATATTCAGCATGCCATGGATCTCATACACGGACCAGTGTTACCAATTTGGTCTGCCTACAGATTGAGACCTATAGAGTACGAGTTGCAGCGACAGCTATAATATCTCGTCGCGAGAGGGTTGATCGAAGAGAGTATCAGTTTGTGTGTTGTCCCCGCCTTGATGGTACCCTAAAAAGAAAGTGCGTGGCAGATATGCATTGACAGTAGAGCCATCAACAATATTACTATCAAGTATCTGTTTCGCATACCTCACCTGGACGATCTCTTTGATCAGTTGCACGAAGCCATTGTTTTTCAATATCCACTTACGCAACGAGTACACCACTAGATCTGAATGAGGCAAGGGGATACGTGGAAGTCCACTTTTTAGACCCGGTATGGATTATAAAAGTGGACAATCATGCCTTTTGAATTGTTTAATACGCCCAACACATTCGTGAGATTGATGAATCAGGTGTTTCGGGCCCACATTGAAGGTGTTCCGGGCCCACATTGAAAAATTTGTAATGGTGTACTTCGACGGCATTCTGCTATAAAGTCAATCCAAGAAGAAGCACTTACAGCACCTAAGGATGGTCTCCAAGGTTTTGCATAAAAAAAGTTATACACCCATCAAATTAAGTCCACTTTCTAAAACCACGGGTTGGTTGGAAGCTTAATGCATCGCTTGTCGCAAAATTATACTTCAGGGAGATTGTGAGGCGACACAGGATACCCAAGATCATCAATTATGACAGGGATGTCAAGTTTCTGAGTCACTTTTAGAGGACCCTGTGGGGGAAGCTAGACACTAAGCTTTATTTCAGTTCAGCAGCTCACCCACACACAGACAGTCAGACAGAGATAGTAAAATCTTGGGAACTTTCTGAGATGCGTTGTTGGGAAGAATATTAAGCAGTAGAATTTGATTCTAGCTAAAGCCGAGTTTGCTTACAATAGATTCACGAGTCAAAGTACGAGATGCATGCGATTTGAGGTGGTGTACATTAGCAACCCGCTCAATGCACTCGAATCGGTACCTCTCCTGCCAACATCAGAGATTAGTGAGGATGGTGAGGAACGAGTATGTGAAATTCAAAAGCTCCATGAGGAGATTTAAAAGGAGATCACTAAGAAGAACCGTAAATACGAAGCAGAGGAGAATAAGACTTGAAAGAATATGACTTTTCAAGAAGAAGGTTTAGTGTGGATCCAGCTGGCATAAAAGAAAAACTTTCAGCAAGAGCATTTTGGAAACTCAATTCCAAAGCAGATGGACCTTTCAGAATACTATGGAAGTTGAATGGTCGCTTATAAAATTGACCTACTAGGAGAGTGTAACGTGTCTGCTATGTTAAATGTCGCGGACTTGACACCATACTACAAAGAGCTAGAAGCTTCGATGAATAAAATAAAAGCTTCCTAATCCCGGGAGATTGACGCGGAGAAGGGGTTGCACTGGCTTAACCCGATTCGGCAAGGAGGATGTCAGTTCATTAAGGAGGATGAACCAGTTGAACCCTGCTTAGGGTTTAGAGCTATTGCCGCCCAAGGGGAGTTGTTTCCTTCTCCTAGTTATCTTTTATTATAAAGATGTTTTTTTGTTGTTTAGGGCTTAGTCTTACCATTGGTATTTCTCACTTGCTAGGGTTGTATTCAAGTCAGGTGGTGCTCCGGTTGTATCCTGCTCTAAAGTGATGACAATCTCGACCTAATCCTTTGCATACCCTCCTCTCCTACTTGTTGCATTCCATGCACTCCCATCTATCTTGTCTCTGAGCTATCAGTCCCCTTTCACCCCTGCTACTACATCAAACACCTCACCTACTAATTGCAGTTGTCGTAACCATCCAGACCCTCCATCTATTGCAGCCTTACACCTTCCAGCCCTCAGGTGCCATCGTCGGACCCTCCTACTTTTCCAGCTGCCACCGCAAGCTCCACCAGCACCTCCACCTGTTGCAGATATTACCCCTTAAGCCATCATGTTGCCAACCCTCTGGTCACCAATCCTATATCCGCAACACCTCCTACACCCAGTTGAACTACCACCACCTATCACAGTCCCTCTCATCATTGTCCGCCAACTGTCCCGACTCGCCCTAGCCAGAGATCCGTGTTGTAGTGTATTGTCTTTTCTTGCTTTTGGGTCTTGATTTTATCCTCGTTATTTTTTAGCAAAAAAACCTGTTTTCCAATCACATTTTGGGTGAAATCCGATATCAATAGTTTTTTAGTTAAAGCACAAAACATCAACACAATAAGAAGCTAGGTAGGTGTGTGGCACTGTTCTCCTTCCTTTTGCCTATCTTCTTGCTCTTAAGATGATTGGAGGGAGAGTTCTTTCTATTTTTTTCGAGAGACAGAACAAAGTGCATTTGTTGTTCTTAAAATTTGTTCATGGAAGGAGATGTTTGATTAGTCGAGCACACCCCCTAGCTTTCCTTGTTTTGCCCGCCAGTCAAATATTTTGCGACCCTACAATCAATGAGCCATAGCTCACATTGCGAACTAACATATACATGTTGACATATTCAACCTATCCAAAATAGATAATGAGGCTGTTTGGAAAGAAAAATAAATTTTGGCAAGAGTCGCATAATAAGGGGATTTAAGTTTAGGTTGTGTTTCAGAGAATCGTAGAATTAAACTCGAGCTTTCATGTGATTCTTTTAAGCTAATTTTACCAAAAAAATTAATGAGCTTATAAATGTAAGCAAGATTGCTTAGGCAGTTTATGAATTCTTTAAATTTAGGAGTAATTGAAGGCCTAACTACACAACGGTATTCATTTATAAATTTAATTGTTAGAACTTCAAACCATTGTATTCATAACCTTTTTATTGTACTTAATCTAGAATGTTTCACTTCAGCTCCAAATGTATGGTGATAACCCTAGACAACGTTGATGACAAAATATCTTTAAGAAATTAAGATAGGTAGTGCAATAGATACTGAAACAAGAAAATTTTAAAATAGTTCGTCCTCTAATTTCGATATGATTATACATTCGCATCATTAACCAAAAGAATGCATCAATATCTTGTTAACAATTCACATCTTATACTTGTGCAAGGCTGCCAAACAATTCATCATCTCTTCATAACATTGAAAATATATTGAGTGTATTACAGGCATCATGGTAACACTAATACGTTGCAACCTTGACAACTACAAGGTCGATATGATGACAACATCGTTAAACTGCACAAGGCAGCAATGTTTGTAACTTGCATGGAAGGTATGAGCTGCCAGTATAATTCTATTGTTTAGCTCATGAGCATCGACAAACATGCATATCCACTTGGTAGAATTAACTATTTCCGCTGAAAGAAAACCCATTAGCAGCTCTTACAATGTTTACGTAAACTGATCAAATATTTCAAGAAAAATGCAAATTAATGATATTATCATATTGAATTATTCAAGTCAATAATCTGTTAATATTATATTCGAAAATTATAAATATCATCATCGACTCACTAACTACATCTATCGTAGTAACTGCATGTTTCCATTTTCTCATAGGGTGATTTACATACATGCCACACAAATCTTATCTATTTAAATATTTAGCATATAAACTTTCATTTTTACATGCATAGCACTTAAATCTTTAACTTCACCACTATTACTACTTTTTAGAAGTGAAACACACCTTTTCATGCATAGATTTATGACACCAAAGTGTTGTAAATGTAAATATCAAAGTTTAGGTGTTAGATGTGTAATAAATTTCCCTATCCCAAATTATTAGTCATTTGACCCAACTCTACTTCTCGTACCATGTAAACAATCAAAGTAGAATCCCGCATATGCATAATGACTTACCTTGTTGTGCAGTACTTTTAAATTTTACCATAGAATTTAGTAGACACCCCTTTATATGCAGTATTTCTTAGATACTAGGTCCTTCATTTTGTAAAATCATTAAAGCATTTAAGTGAATTCCTTCACAATAGGGTGTAGTTAAGCTTAAAATTTTGGTCAATTATTAGTTGTATATCGTGAGCTTAATGAGATATTTTGAGTTACCTACTAGTAAGTACGTTTGGTTCTCTTCTATGATGAATGGTTTTAACAATTAAACTTTTAACCAGAATACAACATGCATGTGAATCGGAGTTTTTTTGGGCTGCTATGCAATGGCTTTGTGGATATCGTTGTAAGTTGTAAGTAGTAATGTACGCTTGTTATATGTAATTTGTGAATGACAAAAGTCACAATGTCCATCCATTGTGATATAAAAGAACAAGTACTTATCATATGTCATAAGCAAGCTAGTCAATTAAATGCCATGCATATAAACAGACACAAAAATATATGAAGAAATTATTTGTAAATAACTAATTTTTAGCAGAACAACAAATCATGTATCCAAATGAATTTAGCTAGGAAATAAAATGCATTATACTAGAAAGTAGCCACATCTTCAACTTGCCATTAATAGCTTACAAATACTTGTTCATATTCCACTTACCGGCTGAAAAATAGATAGGAACCTTCAAGTTCATGCGTTCCCAGTAATCATCCAACAACAAACAAAGTTCCTACAAATTCACCCAAATAAACAAACTAGAATATCCAGCTTGTAGCAAAACTTTAAGGGTTAAAGATCAGCCCCAACAAAGAGTATAGCTTCACCATCGCTTTGTTATTGATGACAAGAAAGCGGTGCCTCATTTTTAATCCTTGACCGGTTGAAAGCCGAGCTCAATAAAAGAACAATGAAGTAAATAATTCTTAAGCATGAAAAATTAAAAGAAGATACATGCATATAGCACAAAAAAGGATGAGTCGATATCAAACCAACAACACCACATTTAATACTTTTCCAAATCATCTCAAGCATCCACTTCACAATTTACTCCCCTAATCTCATATGCATCAACTCATGTTAATAGTTCTTCTTAAAGTGCTAAACAATAGTTAAGTTGCACTTAGCCATTAATGGCAGGATTTTTCTGCTTAATAACTAAGGTCCTCAACAAATAATTCAACACAAAGAAGTATTACACATCCTCCTACCATCAGAAGTTAAAATGAATCTCTAAGCATTAAAGAGGAATACTTGTAGCCAATTGACAGCGCATTAGAAAGAATAATAGCCAGTGTGACCATTGAGCCTTCCAAGTTCTTAAGCATGGCATGAAAAATCAAAATTAATCCATGTGCATATCCTTGATAAATTTTGTTCAATTTTTTTGTGAAACTTGGTTGTTCAATCAACTTCATGTAATTTTTACTACATTAGGTGAATTTGTGCAAATATATTGTCAAATTCAAGTGAAATCTCTAAAAAATTTATTGCTTGCAAGCAATTTACAAAAAATATATGCCTTTTACTCTCCTAGATATGCACCACCCCATAAAAAAAGTATAATCCCAGTGGGGAATGTGATTGTCATTGTTCTGTAAGGGCTCAGTATTTTATTTAAGCGCTCAAAAAAAATCTAAACTACGAGCATCATTTTAAAGCCTCTCATTCTTTATACAGAACTTTTGTTTAAATCTATTTCAATAAAACTTTTCAGAAACCATAATAACTTCACCTAACAAACACCATAAAATAAAAAAATAAACGAGCATTCAATAATTTAAGTTTATAAATAATATAATCATTATTGGAAACCTAATCCAAAATGCTCAAATTTTAGAGCAATGTTTAAAATTATGTAATCTGAAACGCGTCTAGGCCCTCCTTAGCGCAATTACGAAAAAAAATGCTTTGAGACGTATGTTTCGAGCAGCTCAAACGAGGCGTACGCCTCACATTGCTTGGGGAGCACCTTCTCTACTTCGATGAGGCATGCACCTCTCGCACTTAGTGTTTTTTCCCCTTAGATGGTTCAAATATGAATCGAAGCTGCACTATCACTGCACCATCACATGCAAGAGCTCCCATTTTTCCAGTTAAGCTTCCCAGCATCACGCCTGTTACTTCAGATGCTAGCACCAGCCACCGCTACTTTCTACTTTGCTGATAACATCACATTGTTGCTTGTTTCCTCAGTTATAATTGTCACCAATGTCTACTCCTACTGCCCCCTACTGTCGTCGTCGCCGCTAGCTACTTCTATCACCATCACGGTTGCCTACTGCTCCAACTTTTGATTATTTATTATATCATTCTTTTGATCTGTTGATGCTATTATTTTGGTTGTATAATAAGAGAGTAAGTAGTTTATTATGTTAAACTCAACTTGTCTTACTTTGATATCTTATATTACTTTCATTTCAGATTTAATATTTGTTAGATGTCTTATAAGTTATGTTGACATTATACTTTTTATTTTGTGCAATTTATTACATGATATTTTACGACTTATGTAATTTTTTATTTCAAGAAAACATAATGTCACTTTTTATCATGCTAGAATGTTAATGTCTTTATTATTATTATATATATATATATATCAACATATTGTATGAGTGGGCCCAAAAGAAGGCACCCAACTCATACGGTACAACGCACATAAAATTCCAAAAATAGAAAAAATACATATAATTAGGGACGCCCTAAATTAGTCTTGCCTCTGCCTCTGGTTCTCAAAAGGGAGCCAGCTAACAAATTTGTGAAGTGTGTATCATTACCCGAAGTAACCAAAGTATCATCCCTTAGATTCCTGAGTTCAAGCATGTCTCCATTGTTCTTCTTCCTCCTAAATGTGTAAACCTGTCATTCTTCATCGAAGATTGAACGTTCGAATGAGGTGGTAGAACCGTAGTAGAGAGATTATCAACCGTTGTAAGCACAATAGGTTCTAGTGTATGTGAAGTATGAGTTGTCGCCTCTGCTCCAGATGTTTTTCAAGATGAGAAGCTACAAGGTTCACCTGAGTACCAGTCAGAACACTTTCCTTTGTAGGTAATGATCCTTCAGTAATGTTATCAATAAGGTTTGAAGATGTAGGTTGTCCAGCAGAGCCATCCGGCATCACATCAGTCGCAGAAATAGAAGCAGCATTGGCGAGGGGGGATCCACAGGCAAATCAGACACCAAATCCTATCTTGTGGGAACTTCCTCCACAGGTTGAGCAGATGTATCCATAGCAACGGGGTTAAACCCCTCCTTGTTTACTTGAGCTTTAACTTTCAAATTTGGATGAAGTCTGGGACATTATCAAGTGTATGCCCAAACATCTTACAGTGGGTACAATAAAAAGGTTTATGTTCCACGACAATTTGTGTCAGTATCCATTGTGAGCTGTGTCTAGCCAGACTTCAGTAATATCAGGTAAGGTAATATGTCTTTCCACAAGTATTCTGACCACAGAAAGCCTGGTTAGGTTAAAGCTGGGCAAATCTAGCTTCATAGGATCCCCAAGTATGGCTCCAAGAGAGTAGAGAATCAGGTAAACTAATCCATACCAGGTAAACTAATCCAAGAGAGTAAGGAAATTTAACTTGAGACCAGGTAAACTAATCCATACCAGAACAGTAGGAGACTCATGATTCAAGTCAAAACTAGAAGACTACTTGAGTAACACATGTCTCCCATGAACAAGTCTCACTTTCCACTTACCTACAAGTTTGAGATCGTCAAAACCCTTTCTGATAACTTTCATAGGTGGGTGCCCTTACTAAAATTTCTTGATAAGAACGAACTTGAATTTCTCAGTTAGAGTTGAAATTTCTGAATCAGTGAAAAAGAGTGTTGTTTTTCCATTTTTCCTAATTATCTTCTTAAGAAAAGGTTGTCACTCGTATCATCTCGACATTCTTTATAGCTTGAGGGGAAGACAAGAGTATACTCCACAAGATGATTACCCACCACGTGGGTGAAGGAAGCTTTGTTAGGATCAACGGAAGAAAAAGAAAGTGCCATCAAAATAAGCGTCGATCCTTCAACCTGCAGACGCGAAAAGGACGCCGCGAAACTGGCACAACGCCGCCGAAACGCGAAAAAGAGGACGCCACTAGAATAGATCCCGCAGACGCCACAGAAACAGACATCTCCAAACCACGAAACAGAGGACACCGCTTGACTCGATCCTGCACAGACGCGCATGACGCCGCCGAAGAAGACCCTTTAGCCTACCGCACGAACGCACTCCCATAGAAGACAAGCCGCGATGATGATGACACGCGAAGCAAAAGAAAATGAAAGGAGATCGAGCAAGAACAGTGGAGCAAAACCAGAGTTCGCCATAATGGGGAAACGCTAGCAGAGCAATATCGAGGAAGACGATGCCATGATATGTCTTTATAATATATATATATATAAGCTAATACACTTTTTTTACCCCTTTTTTTGGTTTGCATAATTTTCAAACTATGAGGCTTACGACTCAAACCATTTCGAGGCTTACAACTCGCCTCACAAGCGAAAAACACCGTAATACCCAATTACGCAATTTTAAACAATTGCTTTAAAGGATAAACTAAATAATTGAACGTTAAATACTTTACAATATTCATATTCATTTTTCAAGGAATGATAAATGTAAATTAGAAGGATGGAGTTGGAATAGTATTTGAGTGCCTATATTGTAATAAAAAAGTTAAAGAGTAACAGAAGCAATCTTTATAAAACTATGAGGATAAGATAGTGCACAAGCCTTTCCTCAAACCCAGCTTTGGCGAAAGCTTCATGTGTTGGGTATGCCTTTATCATAATTTTAAATTAATGTAACTAATTCTTGGTAACTTTAATAATTCATATCAACTAGAAACATGCATGATTGTCTGTAATTACCATGTATTGGTGAGTTTTTAACCCTAGACACACAGCGCTCTCATATATCTTAAACAACTAAAGCCTTATTAGACTAGACCCATAGCATGCATGGCTTTAAATGTGAACAGACACCCATTGATACTAGCCTTATGGTCCTTACGTCGTTCTAGATTAGTTGGCCTCAAGGGATATTGACCTCATTTTTAATGAGATTGACACATCTTTTAATGTCATTCTTACTCTTAGGGATCATGACATAGCGTAGGAGCTCGTTTACAAGTTCTCTTAATATAATTTTCTAGTGACTAAGCCCAAATCAAACCAAACCAATTTATCTTCCTTGATTTAAGTTGAACACAAATTAATCTTCAATTCATTTAATTGAAGTTTAGCTGACCACAACTAGGTCATCAAGAACCAAGAAGCAAACAAAACTATTCCTAGGATACCCTTGGACTATATTTAATACTTTGGACCTTAAAAACTCAATAACCTTCTCTAAGGCCATAGAATACATCTTAGGATCCCTTAGATCCCACCCTTGCTAACCTTTGAATCAAGTGGCTTGATTGACCCAGTTTGACTAAGTCAACCTATGATGACCCTATGGGACTCTCATCAAATGAAATTTCAATGCTCAAGCTTTTAATTCACAATGAAGTTAACTAACAACTCATTGAGAATCATACTTGAGTAATACCCAAACACGAAAAATCTTGGGCTAGCTTATTTTGATCTAGTAGACTATTCTAGAACCTCTTTGAAATACAAATCAAATCAATCAAATCAAGCAAACCAAACCCAATTAAATGCATTAAAATTTTCTCCTTGGCTAACAAATTCAAAATTTAACCAACTGAATCCAATTTT